AGCCTGCTTCTCCCTCTCCCACTTCCCCTGCTTGTGTTCCTGCTTTCGCTATCTCTCTCTCTGTAAAATAAATAAAATCTTAAAAAAAAAAAAAAAGAGCAGATTAAAGCAGGGAGGGAGAGAGGATTTATTCGTTGGGTGGAGTGTGATTTTTGATACGGTGCCAAGAAAGACTTCTCCAGTGAGGGGACATTGAAGGAAAATGAGGGTCAGGGCTGTGTGGACAAAGTACCTTCCATGCAGGGGACAGCAAGTGCAAAGGCCCTGTGGTAGGAGGGTGCCTGGTGTATTGTGGGACCACTGAAGGGCCTGTGTGGCCAGAGGGGAGTGAGGGAGGGGGAGAGAGAGAAAATGAAATGAAGAGGCAGATATCATATAGGGCCTTAGAAGCAGGGTAACTAGAGGCCTGGTATTCTGTAATTATTAATGGAGTCTGTTTGCACTCTGAAGTATCTTGCTATACATGGAAAATTGTATGCTCACCCTACTTATAAGATCATTGTAAGGACTATGGCTTTTATAGGCTACCTAGGGAGTTTTCATATGGACCACTGTTATGTCGTACATATATTAACATATATAATGTTACGTATAACTACATGTGACTTACACACATATGACATGGTATTATGCATGATGTGTGGTAAATAACCTAAAAGGACTTGTATGTAGGTGTATGTAAGTATGGCAGACTGAATTACAGTCCCCAGCGATGCCCACATCCTGATCCCCAGAACCAGTGAATACATCACCTTATGTGGCAAAAGGAACTTTGCAGATATGATTGAATTGAAGATCATTAGACAGGGAAGAGGATCCTGGTTACCTGGGTGGGCCCTAAATGTAATCACAAGGGCCCTTCCGAGGGGGAGGCCCGAGAGTCAGAGCAGGAGATGGGATGACGATGGAAGCAGAAGCCAAAGTGCTGCAGCCACAATCCGAGGAGCGTGGGTGGCCTCTAGAAGCCAGAAGAGGCAGGAAGCAGATTCTCTCAGAGCTTCCAGAAGGAACACAGCCCTGCTCACATCACAGAAGCGCCGTTTTGGACTTCTGACCGCCAGAACTGTAAAATAATAAATCTGTGTTGTTTTAGGCCACCCAATTTTTCATAGTTTAAAGGCAGCAATAGAAAACTAATACGTTAAAGGGGCGCCTGGGTGGCGCAGTCATTAAGCATCTGCCTTCGGCTCAGGTCATGATCCCAGGGTCCTGGGATGGAGCCCCGCTAGCCCCCTTTGACGGCTGGGGAAACTGAGGCCAAGAGAGGGGTGAGGTGGGCCAACAGTGCTTACATCAGATACGAGGAGTGAGAACCCAGAGCTCCAGTCAAAGCTGGGCTAGGGGTCCAGGTGGAGGGGAAAAGGCCCGAGGGTGAGGGACCCGCACGACCTGCAAGGAGGGGTGGGGCCTAACGGGGAGCGGCCCGCTCACCAGCACGGGGCGGGGCTTAGGGGCGGGGCGGGGTCCAGCTGGGAGAGGCCGAAAGGCCTAGAACAGGGGCGGAGCTTGAGGTAGCAGGGAGGGGCGGGGGCATGGGTGTGGGCGTGGCCCAACCGAGGAGGAGCCAGACTGCGGGGGCGGAGCTTGCACGGAGGTCGGGGGGGCGGAGCTCATTAGGGGCGGGAATCCAGATCGCGGGGCGGAGCTTAGGCCGAGCGTGGGCGGGGCCGGGCGCTGTCCCCGCCGGGTTAAGGCTTCAGAGTGGGGCACGCGCCTCAGGTACGGCCCAGGTTGGGAGGGTGCTCCGGAAACTTCCGGGCGAGACTTGCGTATTTCCGGTCAAGATGGCGGCGCCCACTAGAGTCAGGTGCGGGCGACTCTGTCTTTAGTAGCGGCGGCGACTCGAGGCCCGGGGAAGGTGAGGCCCGGGGAAGTGAGGTCCTCCCCGCTTGGGCTCCCCTCTTTGGGGAGGAAGGAGGAGATTTGTTGCTAAGACGTCCAAAAGGAGGGCTTGTTGCTATGGAGGCCCGGCAGTGGGGTTGCTAAGAGACGGGAACGCATTTAGTGGAGATGGGGGGGTTGCTGGTTGCTAGGTGGGGTGGGTGGGGCCTGTTGCGAGGGGGGGAAGGAGGGGCTTGTAACTTTGGGGAAGGGTCCGGTTGGTATGGAGGAAGGAGAGGGGGCTGTGGTTAGGGTGGGTGCGGGCAGAGTGGTTTGGGGTCATGGGGGGCTCGGAGCTTCCCTAAAACGTCACCTTCTCAGCAGACCCCCAGGAGTCGACCCGTCAGGACGCCAGAGCTACCTCAGCGGTGATCACCCCCTACCCCAAACACATTCTTCCCTTCACAAACAGCCCATGGCGGACCAAGGCTCAGGGGGCAGCCGCCTCCCCCTGGCGCTGCCCTCAGCCTCCCAGGGTTGCTCATCAGGGGGCGGCGGCTCCTCGGCGGGGAACTCGGGCCATCCTCCGCCCCCGAGAAACCTCCAAGGCCTGCTGCAGATGGCAATCACGGCGGGCTCCGAGGAACCAGACCCCCCTCCAGAACCCATGAGTGAGGAGGTAAAGATGGGGACCCAGCGCAGTGGGGGGAGGGGTGCCCTGGGCAGGGGTGGAGTCCAGGGGTGAAGGCAGAGTAGTAGGCTGTATTTGTGCTATCTGGGTTATTGTAGACTGAAGGTCAGAACTCACAAGTGCCCGGGAGGGCAGATCCCTGCATCCCAGCACCGCGCTGGGATGCACAGTAGCTTCGTGGTAAAAAGGAGGGAGGGTTCTCAGAGCCAGGCAGACCTGGTTTCAGCAATATCCAGCTGTGTGACCTTGGGCATATCGCTTCATCTTTCTGAACAGCAAGGTCTTTTTGTTTTTTGTTTTTTTAAAGATTCT